TACGCATTGAGCAAGGTGAAAGACGAAAACGATGCCATCCGAAATCGGATTACCCAATTTTGACAAGCGACGCATTTCTCAACCAAACCAGCCATGGATAACAGAAGACTCTTGATAGCAGCTATATTTCATTTTGTACATCCAGTGGAAAAAGACGGTTAAAAACATCACAAGTTGAGACAAAACTCTGTCAGCTTTAGCTGTCAAAGTAAACAACTTTCAAGATGCTGCATAAATTTTCCGCATGAACTCACCTGTCAAACTTTGACCAATCAGAGTACAAAAATTGGACGTAGAGCGTGACCAACGCGTGACCATGGTAAGAAAAAGTCTTCCCGCCTTTATTTTTAAAAAAGTGGCTGAATTTTCGCGTCCGAGGTCAGTTTGAAATCAAAATCTTGACTGTGCGGGGCCATAGTGACATAAACACAACATATTTCATATGAATCATTGGACAAAATAGACTTGAGCCTGCGATCATTTGAAACTGGTAATTTGTCAGCCGATAACTTCAAAAAATTACTCGACCTCGATGGGTCGACACTTGAGCCCCCGCTACGGTCAGGTGATACTGGTCAGCGGATATCCTGTTTTCACAGCTGTCAATTGATCACAACATTGATGTGCAATTAGTTTTCTATTGGGCTCCCAAACTAGCTAGAAAGTGTGAGAGTAAACATTGGTTTCCCTGTGGTGCGGACGGACGGTCGGGCGTACGGTCACGTGATTACCAAATTTTCTCGGATGGGTAGATTACCACATTTCCTTAGCTATGGGGCTCCGTCCACGCGCGCGCTTCGTGCGCGGATGGAGCTCCGCTATAACCAGCAAAGTTCTTACGTTTTCGTATTATTTGTATTGTCCCGTAACATCTCTTGCACGTTGCTTGCACGTGCTCATCCCAATTAAGATGCTGGTGGAAATGGACACCAAGAAGCTTACATTTACATATTCTAATGTACTATCTGAGATTGTAATAGCTGGTCGTTTCTTATCTAAACGCAACATCGTCTTTGTCTTCTTCGAGTTAAGTGCTAGATGGGAGTCCTTAGACCAGGAGTTCACAGTGTTTAGTGTGGAGTTTAGTTCTTGCGCACACGTTTGTAGCTCAGGAGCTGGACAGCTGGAGTATATTGTAGTATCGTCAGCGTATATGAAATGAGCCAATCGAGGAAGGGAGATGATCTTGCAGATCGGAAACGTAGAGATTAAATAACATTGGGCCGAGGATCGACCCTTGAAGCACACCGAAACGTACGTTCACTTATTCAGATGTACGATCATCGATCTGTACGAAATGTGACCAGTCACTCAAGTAGCTGTTCAACCAGCGCAGAAACGGCTTCGAGAAACCAAGCGTTGATAACTTAGTTATAAGAACCTTGTAGTTGACTGTGTCGAACGCTTTGGAGAAATCAGCCAGCACCATGAGAGTAACCTCACCTTTTTTCATCGCTCTTAGCAAATCGTCGCGCATACCCATTAGGACTGTATTGGTCGAGTGTCCCTTACAAAAGCTAGAAATTGTATCGCGGAGTACTGATTCAGATTCACAAAAGGTGGTCATCTGCAGCACGACAAGTTTCTCAAAGACTTTTGATAGTGTGGGGAGAATTGAAATGAGAGGAAAGTGTTCCTCGGACTTCGGTTGATCTACTTGAGGAATTGGACTGACCCTCGCATTTTTCCAGGCCTTAGGAAAGTAGTATTTCCTGATACAGTTGTTGATAATAGCTGTGAGGGGGCCAGCAATGGAATCAGCCACCATTTTAACGAATTTGACAGGGATACCGTCCGGGCCAGTAGACGTGTCAGATCGTAACAATTTCAGCAGGCGCAGGACCTCACTGTGGGACACTTCTCGGAGCTTGAAGTTAGCAGGGCTATTATTAGGCAGAGATTCAATTAGTTCTTCAATACAGAAAGGTAAGTCACTCTTAACAGGTAAAGTTCTCTCGGCAGTAGATCCCTGCCGCAAGGGTTGCTGGTTAGGTTTCAATATGCGGTGGATAATACGCCACACCTCCTTCGGTTTATTAGAGGATAACGCCTGCCTTGTGAAGGTCTCGCGAGCCCGACGAATAGCTGCCTTCAACTTGTTTCTGACATCCCGACAAAGTTCCCAGGACTCCTGAGAGCCAGTCTGGTGGGCTTTCTTCCTGAATTTATTCCGTAGCTGTTGTAGTGACCCTATTTGGCTGTTGTCCATCCAGGGTGCTGGCGGTCTCATAACTCGCACCCTCCGAAAAGAGGCATGTCTCTCGAGACATTCCTTGAACATACTGTTAAAGTATTCTAATTGTTCCTCCGGATCATCAGATCAATATACAATGTTCAGAGGCAGCGTATCCAAATCACTAATAAATTCTTGCTCGTCGAAAGTTTTCATATTCCTGATATATTTGTAGCGCGGTTGATACAGATTGACACGCACATTTATACAGGCAAACGGAGCATCGTGGTCGCTTACAATACTGGTAGGAATGACATCAATGGCAGAAATGCGCATTGGGTAGTTAGTAATAATATGATCAATCAGAGTTCGAGAGGTCCTAATTTTCTCGAGCCCAAACATGTCTAAGGTATTGCTGTAGCGTGTAACGAGAGAGTCAGGGCGACCGATAAGATCAAAGTTAATACACTCTAGCCAGTGGGAAGCCGTCATCAGTAAATCTGACCTATAAATAACTCCAAGCAACTGTTTACTGTGTCTATTTCTCCCTGGGAGCTCCAGCCATAAGTGCTCCAGGTCCGGTTGAGTTTTTTCAATATCAAAACGCCGTCTATAAGCAACGTTCTCTTTTATGTAGCCACCAACTCCACCGCCTTTTGTGGCTACACGATGGCCAAATTCTGTAGCGTACCCATCTATTGACACGTAGTCAAGCAGTTCTTTTTGATCTCGCAACCATGTTTCACTAAGTAGAGCAACATCCATTGGATCGATAGGTCTTCATTGTAAGTAGAAACTCATTGAAGGTTGACGTCATTGCTTGAGTATTCAGATGCATGACTTTAAGATTACTGCAGTTGGAGCTGAGGATTTCTTGAATATTATCAACCACACTTTCATCAAGAGAAGTGTCAGTGGTTGTGTCCAGCTCAGAGCATGTGTGGAAAGGCAGTAAGGATACTAAACACTGGCCACATGTCCATGTCAGTGGTGTGTCGGTACGGACTTGCTTTACATGTGTTAGTGACATACAGACCTCGCAAAGGACACGCTTTTGATTTTTCCGAACTGTTTTCTCACTGGAAGGACAAATAGCAGCAGAAATGTTGCGGTTTCTCATTCTTTTATTTTTGGACATGTTAAGAGCTGGGCCGGGATTTGATGCAATATCTCCAGCAGACATTAACAGCTGAAAAGTAGCCGCACTATTCCGATAATATTGTAATCTCGACGCGTGTCTCTTAACACGGCTTGCGGTAGGTTTGTCTGAAGTCTCCTTTTCAGTTCCTCGGCGGCGTCGGTTGGGACTTGTTTTGGTTCATGGGTCGCGCGTATAGATTTAAACACTAAGGCGCTGCTACACCATTTTTTGAAATCAACAAATATCATTCTGTATGTGAAAGAAAACGCCCCTTGGCAGGTGGTACGACTCCGAGATAACCTAAAGGGGCAGTTTTTGCGGGAAAGTTGTTTCGGATTCGTTTCGGAGAAGAGAAAGCGCTCGACCGTATGAACTACGATGACTTACCTTTTTCCTAGGGTCTTTGGTAGCTACCTAATTATACCTCTATTTGTCAAAAAGTGAAGAAATTAACCAAGGGACAGTTTTTTGTTGGTAATACGTAGTAAAACATCAAATTTCAACATCTCTGATAAAATAAAACTTCAAGGAAAATGTACCTACCTATTTTAGATGTACCAGCGGCGAATTTACAATGATACAGATGGATGCTAATTCAAGGAAGTTAGGAAAAGAAACGAGAGAAATTGGAGATGAATTGAATTTAAACAAAACTGGCTGGCGCAACATTTCTCTACAAAATTGACTTGTGCAAATTTGTGACATTTTGCCACTGGTGGTCACGAACCTTTTTATTTTGTAAAGGCGAATCCGGAGTACCCAGACTTTTTATTTCATATTCTATTAATATAAGAGCTAAACTTTGTCCTAGTATACATTTTGGCTAGGTATCACACATACCAAGGTGAGTTTTTTGCCTCTGAAGTTGCTCATTTTTTTACCCATTTTAAAAAGTGCGTTTGATGGTAGTTTTTAAAAAACCGTAAAAAATTCAAAATCATGTTTGTGGTTTAAAAAATACCATGGATAGAAAGGAAAGATAGAATGCTTTTAAATAAAAGTATTTTTGTTTTTTAGCTTTGAATCTTGCCTCAGTACAGACGCGCTAAAGTAGGTCACTTTTACTCTAATTTTTGCATGATTAATTAGGTAAAAAACCGCTATTTTCGTTTTTGCTCATTTTCTCGAAAACTATAGATTTTTGAAAGTGAAAAATATTTTTTTCGAAGATACTGCCCCAAAGGGGTTTTTCTAACAAATTATCAGAAGTATCGATTTTTTCAGCCTGAACAGCGATTATTGATATTCACAGTCATGGGCTCTTAATGCTTTGATGGCTTTACCATTTACCAATTCCACATTCGTTCAATCGTCTTTCCAAAGACTGAGTTATTAATTTGTTTTTCAAAAAAATCCTTTTCAAATTTTTTGCTTGATTCTTTTCCTCTATGAACTTTTTTCAGTTTCAACCCCCAAGACTTATTCCGAGCGACGCGCCGAGGGCGTAGCGACTTTATAATCTCGTCTCGCGCGAAGCGGGCACGTCTGCTAACCGCGCGTGCTCCTAGCCAGCTGCGAAATTCGAGGCCCCATAAAAAAATAATATATGCTTGGAGTCCGCCAATGACGTCATGGAGCATTTTGCATTTCCAGGCAACACAGACTGTGCCGCCGATGACCAAGGCGCATTTTCATGTATTATTCATGAAAGGCTGTTGTGTTGATTCATCGTCTGTGAAACAGTGTTTACCATCGGTGAATCACGAACAATTTCCCATCCAAGTGACACAGAACTGCAAGCACAGCAAGTAGCCGCAAATCCTCGCCGAGGAAGATTTTCCGCTGAAACTCCTCTGGAAAATACGCCGATGAAAATTCATCGGCGAGTGGATCGAAGAAGACAACTGCGAAGCAGAGAGAACATCGCTTAGCACAGCGAAGGCAACGTCGTCAACACAGCGACCACAAACGTGTACAGAGGCAGCAACAAAATACTACAATTACAGTGTAACCGAAACCGATGAAGGGACGGAAAACCGGCTGTCGACGCTTCCAAAAGCGACGTGACTGGATCAGGCAACGCTTAAAGTTTACAGTCAAAATTACCTTCTTCGATGCAGCCATAGGCAGCAAGAATTGTGCACGTCAACAATATTTTTCCAACGGACTCGGGACAGTCGATCAGCCTTTACACCATGAGCAACAATGGGTTTTACAGCAAGCTTTATTTAAGGTGGCTCGACTGGATTTTTTTGGGGGGATACCTCCCAAGTTTGAGCATTAACTACATCGCCGAGAGTAAAGATATGGGAAAAGGATTACCACAACTTTATTATACAAACATGAAAATTTCTCATAATCTGGGTTTTATTCCAATCGGAGTCGCCGTAGCAACGTAACGACGCCATTACGTTTTTGATTTATGTTTGTGTTTCTCTGTACCAAGAGTTTTTTTAAGAAATCGCTTAAGGGAGTTTGTACCTACCATAATTACCTCAGTTATGGCAAAGTTTGAGCAAATTCTATGAGAGCGTTTTCGAGATATTTTGAAACGAAGTTTTAAGCATCATAAAAACAGTGAAATAGTATGCTATCTACACACTTAGCTAAATTTTTAAGAAAATGACAAGCTTGCGAAACGCGGCTTCATCTCATAGTTTTGGTAATCTTTTTCCCATATCGTTACTCATGGCGACGTAGTTAATCCTCAAACTTCGGAGCTATCCCTCCCAAAAAATCCAGTCGAGCCACCTTAACAATGAACAGTTTAGAACACCGATAATGTGTGACATGTTTAGGGAAGCGTTACATTTGTACACAAAATCCTTTCTGAACAACGCTTTCGCTTACAATTTTCATTACATTTACTTCCCCAAAACCATCCCAAGTAAAACATATCATCATTGTATAGCAGCGTTATACATAAACACACAGCTGTGTCTTTTAAGTCAAGCATAACAATTTTTTTTTTATTGCTGACCTCCTATTTTCGATCCTATTTAATATTCGAAAAGAATATCTGGATTTCGGATCTCCTCACAATATTAGGTGTGAACTGTGTGACATGTGTTACCATGCCAGGAAAATTAATCATTCCCCGTAAGACAAGTCAGAGAATTTCAGTATAAGTCAGGGAAAATGTAACTCTTTCAAAGAAGACAGAGGGAGGTGACATATTTGTGCATATTCACCGAAGTTAAACATGTTCCACTGGCAGAATATTGTATCTAGAAATCAAACGAGAAGCAGATATAGGGTTTCCTTTGAGATCAATCCATTCTGCACTTTACATTCACAATAAATTCATGTATTAAATAGGTGGACAGGATAGCTGTGATGGGAGTTTGGGCACTTATTTTGTATACCAGACACAGATGACATATAAAGCGAAAGGACCAAAAACCATAAAAACATGCCAAGCAGATTTTCCCTCAGCAGAAAACAAAAAAGTCTTTTGTTTTACCTCATCTGTGTCCAGTACACGAAGTTTTGACTGGAATTTGGAATCATTAATATCTGCACAAATCGTCAATTCATTTGGTCAAAGAAGGTTTGACTGTCAGTCTGGGAATTTATAAAACTATGCCTCTCGCAACCATGTCTCTCAACAAGGTCATGCATGTTGAGAACTGAAATACTGATCACCTTCAACAGTACTTGTATGTGGACATTTCATACAAATTCACTCTTGCATGAGACATTTGAGTATTTGTTTCTCATGCATTTACGCAAATAACTATAAACACTTTCATAAATGATTTGGTAATTTTTACAGTGATAATTCAGTGCTAATGAGGGTACCACATAATCAGTAATCATGAGTCATGATCGCTTTCATAGTTCTCCTTAACTGCATCCATCATGACATAGCCTGGGACTAGGCTTCCCATTGGGGGAAAAGGTTGGAAAAGGAAAAAAAAGGGGTCAAATAGAAAAATATCACATTGCTACAAGTAAGTTCTATTTTAGTGTAACTGATTATGTTTACACCTTAGTTGTCAAGTGTGATTATATACTACAACAAGTGCATACACCCTCTTGTTGTAATTCACTTAAAAATGAATATTTTTTGTTCAATTACCAGCATTTACTTGTTATTTTCACGCCAGCATTACTCTCCTACCATTTCATCCACTCATGACTAAGGTCACACTTTACAAGTAATTATTGATACACATTAAAGATAGCATGTGTTGACTGCAAATTCGCCTGCAGTTATTCAATGTCACACCCATTCAAATTGGGTGAAGACAGAACCTATGAAACATAGGCTACCCTTCCTTAACATCACCAACCCCATTTAAATCCCAGAACCTCCTTTTTAATAAAAGAGCAATGGGTTGAAATTTACTCCAACCAAAAGGCGATTAACTACATCTCACCTTCCAATCTTAGAGCCAGGGTTGAATCTCGCCCTCCCAAGCTACCCAATTTACTCCAATTCTCTCCCCCTTCCATCCCTGATATTTTATGGGCCTTCCCCACCCCGAGCTTCGCGAGGTTCTGCGATACATGTATTTCTAGTATTAGATATTGTCTTAGATTTCTTCAATGTATTACATAATGATACTTTGGAAATAAGTTACCATGTAATTTCTCCACATTATTCACTTACATCTTTTCCGGAGCAAGGGGGTAATCATCATGAAGATCCCAAAGCACTATTGGATACTCTAGATCAGCCTCTAATATATGACCATGATTAGTTATTACAGTTGAATTTTGGGGGAATTGGGGTTGAATTGAGAATGAAAGAAAGAGGGATAGAAGTGGGTATACAAGTAAACCAGTTAGTCTGCTAAATGTCTAAGGGCCACCTCGTTGAGGGGCGAACTGTCTGGTCGTTGTCTATTAATTATTCACTTCCAATTTTCGAGTACCCTTAAATCCAATATTTCCTCATTTTCCCATAACTTTTAACATTTGCCGTTCAAACTTTTATTGACTACAAATATTCTTATAATCATCAAAAATTCTCAAAAACTCATCGTTCCAAGAACTTCAGGATGAGTGATTTATTGTTAAAATCGAATTGACATTTTGACAAGTTTTTGAAGGAAAAGTGCTCACACATAATACAAGCGTTTAACTGTTATCTCCCCTTAAGAATTTTGATTGCATTGAGTTATTCCACCTCGAATTTCATATTCTACCATGATCAACATATCATTAATCTCATGGTAATTGAAATTCAAGAGATTGACCTATCTGTTTAAGACATGCATCCCAAGCCCCTTAAATCCTAGTGATGTATATATAATAATGGGCTGGATCCAGATTGTAATGTTTGAGACACGTTTTCCTTAAATTCTCAAATACATCAATACTAGAAGTGTCAAGACTCCCTTTAATTTGTGATCCAAGAACACTGTACTCTCAGGGCATTTATAATCACCCTTTCTTGCTCTTCTTCCCCTTGGCTTTGCAACCCTATGTTCGGAGGGGCATGAACATTACATATTAAGAAACCACCGTAGTTCAGCCATAGAGTCTTTGTTTGCTCACGAATCAACTATCAAATCTTTAAAGTACAATTTGTTACTAACCTGATGTTAAAATTCTTTTGTTATCAGCTCCTTCTGCGTAACTTGCACTTCTATAAACCGATATTGATTCTAAGTCATCATCATCTTGTAATTTTTTTAAAGAAACTGTCAGCTCTCTTGTTTCCTGGCTGCCTCTACCAGTAGATTTTTTAAATTTCTTCCAAAGAGAAAATCTGATACCGCAAACACAAATAACTGCAAATAATGTACAGGCTGTTGTAACTGTCATCACTATAATCACTAAGTTTTTAGAAGAAAGACTATTGTCTAATTTGGGTTCATACGTATCCACACATTCAAGAAGCGGAGTTTCTCGACACTGAAGTGTCACTGGAAGACCCGAATCCTCACACTGCTTCTCATGGTTTGTCGGTGGTTGCCCACAGCAGACACTACATTGATCACATGCATTTGTTACATTATTCCAGTAGAAGCCCTTCCTGCATATTTCCAAACACCTGGAAGCATCCTCTGTAGTGGTGCAATTTCCTGATGACTTTTCATGTGGACTGCAGTCTCTACAGCTTTTACACTGAGAATAGTCATTTGTATTAGAGTAATTCACCCCTTTTACACAGTAAACACACTCTATTGGTGTACCGATTGCTACAGAAGTACCGCACGGAATATTCATTCCACTTCCTGGGTGACACTCTGCAACCGAGCATTTCCAGATGATAGAATGAGTCACATTTATCACAACTTCGATTTCATCAGGCCTTGGCTCTTGTCGTTTGCAGCTTGTAAGACTAGACCCCCAAACTAAGATGACCTGAGAAAGAAAATAAAGGACACATGTACAGGAGAAGTTGTTTCAGGACCGTTCACTTTTTATTGGGGGGGTGGGAGATTAAGCCCGTTTTTACTACAGTAGCTATTAACGTGATGCATCTGCTAATGGTAACACGTTTGCCGCTGTGTTTCTCGCAATGGAGTCTAGTTTCTGCCGTGTTTAATTTGTTTACGGATTCTTGTTTTTTCGTCCTGTGATGAACGAGACATACTACACGTTCACTGGGCTTGATTCTTCTTAGCATAGCGTAAAAGAACGAGATGTATACACATAAATTAGCATAGCGCTTCGTTCGTCTCAACTGGGGTAAAAGAAGGAGAACTTTACGTTCGTTCGTCTCAGCATGGCTTAAAGAGATATATTACACTAATTTATTCAACTTCATTTCTCTGTGCATTACAGCTAATAAATATTCCGGTGGCATAACTATAAATTCATTTCAGGCGACATAACTTTTGCCTCTCAGAAAATTGCAGTCTTCAACAGGAACTAGTACTTGATAGAACATCTGTGTCACGGAGTTTTTTTAGTTACATTTTGTCATTCTTGACATTTCTGGACTTACATGTAGGCGATCACGTTTGGAGCACGTAATCATGTGACATTTTTAACTGAGTAGCTTTTCGATTGAAAATAGATTTTTGCTGACAGTGCACCTTTGAGAGAATTGTATTTTGTCTCAGAAGTCCGAATGTTTGGCATGTGTATCGGTTTGGAAGCCCGTTACTTTTGCAGAACCCTATTGTTTTGGAAAGTGTATCGGTTTCGAAGCCCGTTACCTATTGGTTTGGAATAAAATCTAACACATTTGGTCCCGAGAGCTGGATTTGGAGTCAGAACTAGCTGAATTATGCCTGGAAAACTAGCGAAGAACCTGAAAATACGTGCAGCGCATCGCTTACACACAAAGAAAACTCCTTGCATCAGTCGATGAACTTCTCATGGATTACGATGAATCTGATACCACTAAAGACAAGATAAAACGGATAACTATAACGCTCAATGAAAAATTAGCGACCTTAAAGGCCTTGGACGAATCGATTTCGGCCGCTATCGACAAAGGAAATTTAGAACCAGAGATAGAGGAATCTGAAGAGTTTCGCGCGTGAATTCATGGTGCCCTTTTCAAGTTGCAGAAATGAGGAAAGTCTCATGGCAAACAAGAATCGCTTCAAAGAAGTCAAGGTGGGTCTGTTCCATCTAGTTCTAGTAATAATGCGAAGCTACCAAAGCTACACATAAAAAGATTTTCTGTCGACCCAAAAAACTGGCAAATATTTTGGGATTCGTTCTCGTCTGCGGTACATAAGAACACCTCGCCAACTAATGTTGACAAGTTTAATTATCTGCGAAGTCTTTTAGATGGCCCGGCTCTAAATTCTATCACTGGATTACCTCAAACTGAACTGAACTATAAGGAGGCTATTGAAATCTTAACTGATAGATTTGGAAACAAGCAGATAATTATTAGCTCTCCCATGGAGGCCTTACTTAAATTACAGCCTGTGAATGCCATGTCTAACTTTAAAGGAATCCGAGCTGTTCTCGATAATTTGGAAATTCAGGCAGAGGTTTACAAGCTCTGGGAATTGATTCTGCACACTGTGGAGCTCCTATATTCATGGAGAAATTACCGGAAGAATTACGATTGATAGTCAGCAGGGAACATAAGGATAACTGGGAGCTAATTTCTGTAATAAAAGCTGTAAAAAATGAAGTGGAGGCCGGTGAAAGGTGTGACATGAATACATCTGTGGAGAAAAAATCCCAATCAAAAAAATCGTTTAACCCTGGTAATGAATCGACTGCGAGTGCATTGTTAAGCGGAAATCGTGGGTAGTTAAATTGTTTGTTTTGCAAAGGGAATCACTAAGCGTCTGAGTGCCAAGTTGTGACAAATATTGATGAAAGAAGAGAAATTTTGAAGAAACAAGGGAGGTGTTTCAATTGCCTGCGCCGCGGGGGGCACCTAGCCCGTAAATGTGACACCAAAATTCAGTGCTTTAAGTTCAGAGGTCGTCACCATTTGGCAGTTGTAATAGTAATATGGGGGACAGCAATAATAATCCCGCTGGGGCAGTAGCCTCACCTACATTGCATATTGGTTCTGGGATGCATGTTTTCTTACAAACTGCTAAAGTAAATGTCTCAATCCCAGGGAAGGAACTCTCTCATAGTCTCACTGTACGTGCAATTTTTGATACTGGAGCCCAGCGATCCTGTGAACCAAAAGGTAGTAAACGCCTTGAAATTGAAAACTGTCAGGACAGAGAGACTGAAAATTGCAACATTTGGGGATCAGAACCAAGAGCTGGAAGCTGTCAACCTGGTCGAACTTTCTTTAACCAAATCAGGAACGGACTTTAAAACAACACTGAATGCATTTGCAGTCCCTCACATTTGTAATGATTTACAAGGTCAAGATTTGGAATGGGTTAAAAAACAGCTATCCCAGCTTAAAAAACATTGAATTTGCTGATGTGTGCCCTGCCAGCAATACATTATGCACATTGATTCGGTGATTGGTTTAGATTATATCTGAGATTTCTTTGATGGCGAGTTAGTAAGGGGAGGAGGAGTCAGGTCAAGGTGGTCCTGTGGCTGTTTCTACAAAAGTTGGATGGGTGTTGTCGGGCACGGTGGAAAATCTCCCGAGGGAGAAACTCTCAAGTATTCAGTTTTCGTCGACTCACGTGTTGAGAACGGAGTCAAGGGTTGTTGATGATACGCTGCACGGGGATTTGGATAGATTGTGGGATCTGGATTCTGTCGGCATTCGAGATAAGGATACTGTCCTTGAAGCCTTCGAAAAGAATTTGAGTTTTAAAGATGGCAAGTATTTGGTTCATCTACCTTGGAAGGAGCAACATGGGCTGTTGCCAGATAATTTTGAGAACTGTGTAGCAAGATTGAGCTCGCAGCTTAAACGTCTTAGAAAGGATCCAGAGATCTTGAAAGAATATGACTCCGTCATACAAGATCAGTTGCAGAGTGGTATAATTGAACAAGTAGACTGTGCCAAGCGTCCTGATGTTGGAAGGATGCATTATTTACCGCATCATGGGGTGACACGCCGGGATTTCCTTACAATCAAACTTCGTGTTGTTTTTGATGCGTCGGCAAAGCCCAGCAGTAATAGTCCAAGTCTAAACAAAAGTCTTTACTCAGGAACAGCTTTAACCCCAACGATCTTCAATGTTCTCCTCCGGTTTAGACAGAAAAGAATTGCACTTGCAGGAGGCATTGAAAAAGCCTTTCTCAATGTGGGGGTTCCTGAAGAAGATCGTGATGTCCTGCGATTCCTCTGGGTGGACAGTTTAGAAGAAGAGAATCCCGGATTGATGTTATATCGGTTTTGTCGTGTGGTATTTGGAGTCAATGCTAGCCCTTTCCTTTTGAATGCCACTTTGAAGTATGATATCAGTCAATATGAGGCTGACCCCGGTTTGGTTCAGAACTTGCTGAATTCATTTTATGTGGATGATTTGGTGACAGGAGAAAGGGGTGTTGAGGAGTGTCTGTCGCTTTATCAGAAGTCTAAGAAGTGCCTATCGGAAGGTGGATTTAACTTGCGAAAGTGGATTTCAGATTCACCTTAATTGCTTGAATCAATTTGTCAGGACCAAGTTGAAACTGTCCGAACTTGTGCTGTCCTTGTCGAGTAACACCCTGTCAGCGAGAAATAATCGATCCGCAAGTGGAAGAGCTTCTAGCTACAGGCAGAATTGAACCATTGCAAAGTCTCTGGAGCAGTCCAGTAGTACTTGCTAGGAGACACGATGGGACATCCCGTAAACTACCGTAAACTTAACCAGTTGACACAGAAGGATGCCATACCACTGCCTCGGACAGATGACGTGTTAGAGGCCTTGGGTGGGGCCCAGTGGTTTACAAGTCTGGATTTCGCCTAGGGGTACTGGCAGAGGCAGGTGAAAGAAGAGGACAGGCCTAAGACTGCCTTTTCAACGCACAGGGGACAATTCCAGAGGAGAGTCATGCCCTTGGGATTGGCAAAAGGAAAAGTAAGCTTCACTCGATTAATGAATCTAGCGCTCAATGGCCTTAACTGGATCCACTGTCTAGTGTATTTGGACGATATCGTCATCTGGGCTTCTACCTTCGAAGATCACATCCGCCGCCTACGGTTGGTGTTTGATCATATAAGAACTACTGGTTTCCTTCCGAAAGAAGTCGCTTTTCTCGGACATGTTGTGTCGTAGACAGAATAAAGACCGATCTTCAGAAAGTCAAACCCATCAAAACGTGGCCAGTACCAGTGAATATGAAAGAGCTTCAAAGCTTCCTTGGCCTTCAGAAAGTTCATTATTGGATTCTCTATTATTGCTGAGCCCGTGTACAAAATGTGTAGAAAGATTGTACCCTTTAGCTGGTAACAGGAAAAACAATCTGCATTTGAGGAGCTGAAAGATCGCCTGATAAGCGCGCCAGTTCTAGCTTATCCCGATTTCAGTCCTGCGGCGGGGTCTTTCATACTTGGTACCGATGCAAACCAGTGCCTAGGAATTGGAGCGGTTTTGTCCCAACAGCAAGAGGATGGGACTGACGAGTGATTGCTTATGGTAGTCACTCCTTAAACGAACATGAAAGGAACCATTGCACCACTCGGTTGGAAATACTTGCTTTGGTTACGTACGTTGACTACTTCCGATACTACTTGTTAGGGCGGAAGTTTTGTTTACGAACTGATCATCACTCATTACGATGGTTGACGTCCTTTAAAGAACCCCAAGGTTAAGTGGCTCGTTGGCTTGAACGCCTCCAAGGATATGATTATGAGCTCCAACATCGGCCTGGAAAGCAACACAGCAATGCGAACAGTTTGTCTCGACGGCCTAGGCGAAATCATGGTGACTGCCCCTCATGTGTTCCACTTACAAAACCATATATAGCAACGGTCATCAGCAGACTGCCCAGTGTTGAATACCAGAGGGGTGAAGAGGATCTGTGGTTATCCAAGAATGTGGCTCAAGCCTAAGCTCAGGACACAGATATTGGGCCAGTTGTAGATCAGGTGTCGCGGGAGTGGAAGAAACCTACAGCCGAGAAGCTCCAGCCCTTGAGTCACGCAACAAGGGAACTATGGGCACAGTGGGAATTGATAGAGCTACGAGAAGGAGTACTTTACCTGTAGCCTCCCCGCAGATGTAATTTGGGGTTCGTTCGTCACGCATTCATTTCTCCCCCACGGACGTCTGCTAAACACAGCCGACATTTAAGTTCACCAATCTCTAGCCTCCCACGCAGACGTTCTTAGGGGTTCGACACGCGTTCCTGCCCCACGAACGTCGGCTGAACTGAAAGATAAATTCCTTTCCCATTGTTCGCAAATATCGGCTGCAGATCACATGCAGATTATCGGAGATCCAATTGGCGCTGTTGAAGTCAGTGTTGACAAGCCAGACACATACGTACAAGCTCTGTAGAGTGTGATACGTGACCAAAGATTTTTGCTCCTGACGAGAATATAGGAGATAAACGTTGGCTTTTTTTATATTTCTCTCTGTAAAGGCTGGATAAGATATCACTGGCTCAAAAAGTCGTTCTTTGGGTGATACAACGGCGGGGTTGCCTTGTAAGACTGAGCAAAAGGCAGAATTTTTTTCACACTTTATTGTTTTGTAGGAAAGCCGACTTCCGTTCAGCAAATTTAACCTCCGAGGTAATTTTTTTCAATGAGATTGTGAGGGTAGCCACTAGTACGAACGCTTGTGAGTTAACTGAGTAGTTTGTTCTAAAACTGTAAGGTCTTCACCTTTCATGCGACCTTTCTGATCTTTTCTGGAGCTATAAAGTCAAGCGCGAAATTTCTCAAGGTCCAAAGTGCACTTCCCAGATCTGGAAGTCTGCTGTGATTGGTCTACGTTTTTTCCGCTCAAGTCAGCAGACGTTTGTGGGGCAGGAACGCGTGACGAACCCCTAAGAACGGGGGAGGCTAACCAATCACAGGCCGTTTACGGATTTTTGTAAAACGTAACCCGAGCCGCTTGTTCAGATTCGCACGATCAGTGACGCTTTTGATCGTGTGTGCGCGAAATTTGTAATAAATATAGAGTAAAACAAGTATCAGAGAGAAGCTATCCTTCAAATTTTATAGAGAAAACCAATGATTTCATAAATTTGCCGACAGGATTTGGCAAATCCTTTATCTATCAAGCTTTGCCATTTGTTTGCGACCCAGTGCGTGGAACTACTGGACATTATTGTAGTTGTTGTTTCGCCCGCGGTAAATCTTATGAAAGATCAAGCTACAAAGCTGGAAAATATTGGTATTCCTGCTGTATGGCTCAGTGATATTAGCGAAGAGAATAGGAGGGTTGTCGAGAGAGGGGCTTTCTCTGTTGTTTACGTTGGTTGAAGATCGATCGGTGGAGGAAATGTTAGCGGGTGACTTGCACAGTTAGTATGTGGTCCTTGGTCCGCGACTTTTCCGAGCACGATTAAATATTTTGTCGAGAAATAAAATACGGTGAGCAACGAAAGGTTCAATGATTCATTGATTATAAGCATTCTTTCTTTCTTTGAAGGAGCGAGATTAAAGTTTGTGGACAGGTAGGTTAATTTGTCGTTCTAGCTTAAAGTTTGGACTTAGGCGGCACTGTGGTCATGTTTACTTAGCTTGTGAATAAATAAAACGCAACGGGAAGACGTGCCTTTTTGCAGAACAAGTTTTGAGATAACCTTTTTTCTGCCGTTTGGAAGCACATTGCTGTAGACTTCGAATTTTGTTGTTTTACCGACTGTTGAAAAAATACAACCAAATTTCGCCTAGTGGTCCTTGGTCCTCGACCTATGACCCTGGTGGAATTACATTTTGCAAAAAAGGAAACGGCCTTTGTTTTCGAAGAATGATTTGAAAATCTTCCCTATACGCGTTTACAAGTTGTCGTTTCTTAATACGTCGAATTTATAGAGAGTTAATAGTAATAAAATAATGTTTTCGACCGCGCTGAAAACCGCTCCGCGCTCGTGTAGGAGACTGTTGTCTGAAGTCTTTCAATGAGAAGCAGATTATTTTATACTTACAACAACTTCCGAAAAAACTATACAGCTGACTACAGCTTTATTGCATCATTTCTGTGATTTTTTTCGAAAGGTTTGACTCGTCTCAAGTAGAAGATAGCTGTGCAAATAAATAATTCACTTGAAGAATACAAAGACACATCAGCGTCCAGAGCACGTTTGATGAGCCTTGCGATGTCGACTGCGCTTTTTCTAAACACACGAACTTGGTCTTTTCCTAAATTGCAGCTGCAAAGAAAACAAAAAAAAAATCGCTTCTAATAACTTTCTTCGCAGTCTCATCCATGCATAGGCATGGAATAAACATTCCTGTAAAAAAGCGAGAAATAATTCGTAAGTGCCGTTTCACTTGTATCACAGCTCGTTATTGGCTGATCGTGACACAATAACTAACCGCTTATCGGCTTATTCAAACAAACAAGAACGTAAATGTTGCCTGTGTTTAGCAGACGGCCGTTGGGGAGAAATGATTGCGTGACGAACGAACCCCAAAGGATGTCTGCGGGGAGGCTACTTTACCTGCCGTCAGCCGAGGGAACGTCTTCAGCGAAGAGCAGAATGGTCTTACCTCGGGGGCTAATTAAAGAAGCGCTCACTGAATTCACGATGGTCCAGCAGGTGCCCACTTAGGAACGATAAAGACCTTGAGAAAGATGAAAGCCAGGTTCTGGAGACCAGGGTTGACAAAAGCAGTGCATTGGTACTGTAGCAGTTGTCTGACATGTGCCAATGCAAGTCCAGACCTAAACCAAAGGCACTCCTATATCCAATACCATCTGGGACCCTATGCAGAGAATCCATATTGACATTGTTGGTCCCTTACCGGGTTCTTGAAGAGGAAACCGTTACATTCTGATTGCGCAGTGCAGTTTTTCAAGGTGAGCTGAGGCGTTTGCAATTGATAAATGTGCCACAACTTGTGCAAGGGTGTTGGTGAAGAACTGGGTGTGTAGATATGGTTTACCAGACAGTATACACAGTGATCAGGGAAGAAACTTTGAGTCCCAGGTGTTTGAGGACATGTGCCATTTGCTGGAGATTAACAAAACGCGGTCAACTGCGCACCACCTAGAGGGCAATGGACAGATAGAGAACCTGCACAAGACCTTAAAGAGCATGCTAAAGGCCAGAGTTGAAGATGATCCACAGAGTTGGGACGAACACCTAGATTACTGTATGATGGCTTTCAAAAGTAGTGTCAACTTCTCCACGGGACATACACCTTTTGAACTTATATTTGGAAGGGAGATGTGGGTACCTCTGGATATGATGATGGGCAGAGCCGAAAACGATGAAGGAACTACTCAGAGTTTGTCAGGGATCTTCAGAGTACTTTGGAAACTGCACACTATGATGTGCGCGAAAGTCTGCAAGTAGCTCAGAAAGATGGGTACAACAAGGGTGTAAAGCACATGATGTTTCAGACTGGTGATTTAGTGCTACGCTACACTCCACAGCAGAAGCCGGGTGAAGCAAACAAATTCCATCGGCAGTGGGAGGGCCCATTTAAGGCAGTGGAGCGCGTCACAGACGTCACGTATCGGGTTAAGAATGTCTGGGGACAGTCCAGCAGATCTCAAGTAGTTCATTTCAACAACCGGTGGTTGTATGAAAGAAGGCAGGAGGAACCCTTGGAGGAACCAGGCTGTGGGGGGGGGGGGTTAGTGATTGCACCTCAAGGTGGAAGCGAGGAAAGTGAACGGGTAGCACCAGCCTGTTAGGAGGTGGAGTCAGGGGAGCCTGATACGGTTACTGGTGGAACCGAAGATGAGGTTTTCGGGATTGGGCCTAGAGATGAGCCTTCTGACGAGGTTGTTGATGTGCAAGACGAGAGTGGGTACGAGTCCTGCAAGGTTGATACGGCTTCAATAGGAGAAATTGAACAGGGTGGTGGACGTGACCAGGTAGTAGATTTGCCAGATACGGAGGGAGGTGGACTGTCAGATAATGTTCAAAATGATCACGCAAGCGTGGAGGAGAAAAGAGAAGACGAACATGAGGCCGAAGAAAAACGGCCAGGTGGACAGACCCCAAGACCAGTACGCGTAAGGAAACCCCCAGACCGTTATGGTGAATGGATTCTAAATAGTTTGCAGCAGATATCGGACAGCTTGAAGATGGTGGAAGACAAGCAAAGAGCGGACAAGAAGCGGAAACAGAAACGGTGACCAAAGTTGCTGAAGAAGGCTAGTATATTGCGGGGACTTTAAAACTCTTTATTTATTTATTGATCAGATTACCACTAAAAGTGGCAGGGCAGCCCGGATAGAAAGCCCTGGGGTTTATTACATTCAGGCTACCCATTTACAAACAAAATTCAGAGTTATTTAAGTATACCTAAATGATAAGAGTAAGCTAAGTATAAGTAATAAGGTTAAGAGGTATAATTTTCAATCAACAATATCAAATTAATTTGGGGTATCTAATTAGTGATTCAAATAAATAGTTCAAGAAAAAGAAAATTCTAGTTAATAGTCTAAAAATTAAGTAGGAAAAGAGAAAACACACACACACACAAAAGAAAAACTAGGCTATACGAAAAATTATTAATCAACAATACGGAAATAATTAGGACAGATTAGCTTGTTGAACTAAAAATCTATGTAAGTTCTTTCTAAAGACATGTTTTGAAGATTCGTCTTTTGAGTTAAGCAGGGAGGGTATTCCAAAAATTTGGGCCTTGATATGCTAAGGTAAATTTCCTAAAATTGGTTCTAGAAAATTGAGATCTGTATTTCATAGCATTTCTTGTATAATAAGAATGAAGTTGAGAACTAGACAAGAACATACCATGGAAGCCTACTGGAAGTAACTTATTCTTAAAGGAAAACATAAACAGGCCGATCTGTATCATAAAGATATTACTTAAATTAAGAAAATTTATGCTCATAGAATAATCGAGCACGTGGGGGCATGAAAACAGCACTTGCTGATTACCCTTATGATACGTTTCTGCAATACAACAAGTCTATTCAAGGTAGTTTTATACGTAGACTCCCAAACAATGGTTCCATATTGCATTTAAGGATAGACAAGGGCAAAATATAGGGTACGCAACGGTGGCATAGAAAGGTAGAATCTGGATTTTGTTACAATACCAATAGATTTAGAGACCTTATGGGGCAATTAAGTTAACATGTTCTTTCCAGTTTAAATTTTCATCAACATAGACACCTAGAAATTTAGTATGTGACTTACGTTCAATAGTTTCGTTGTTTATTCTTATATTAAAAAGAACAAAGGGTAATTGTTTTTGGCGCACCTTAAAAATAACATAGTTGGTTTTCTTTACGTTTACAGTGAGTTTATTAGCCATCAACCAATAGACCTATTCGGCTAACTAAATGTTGTACCCAATTCAAAGCCTTTGGGGATAAAACGTTTTGTTTCAGGAATTTCCATATCATTTGAATGTGAATGCAACATTATCATGCAAATACAGTACATAAAGAATCTTAACCCCGGGAGATTTGAATTGGGTACAACATTGAGTTAGCCGAATAGGTCTATTAGACACTTTCTTAAGTTCAGAATTTAAGAGATCTTGTAACATATTGAAATCAGCATTTGAGAAAAGGACATTGGTGTCATCAGCAAATAGTATAGACTTAAGTAAACTTGATGAGAGATGGATATCATTAATATATAAAAGGAAAGTAAAGGGCCAAGGATAGAACCCTGTGGAACACCACATTTAACTGTCAGATACTCAGAAGCCACACCGTTACATTCAACATACTGTTTTCGATCAGAGAGGTAACTATACTAGACTACGAGTAGTCCCCCATTTTTCCTCAGGGATAGCAGAGCCAGCGAAACGCGAGCGCGCGTGAAAATCACCCCACGCGAGAAAAAGCGACACGCGGGGGTGGAGAAAAATGAGGGACTACAGACAAAGCCCAAGCTTTCGAACTAATGGGTTGCTCTCACAACGCAAAACTCTGATTGGCTCTTCCACGAAAAACTGTCAACATCTGTCAAAAACGCGCCAGCCGCTATCGACACTCGACAAAATCACAATTTGCAGAACAAATAACTAGAGCAGAACAAATAACAGCACAGAACAAATAACTAGAGTTGCTCTTGCTTGTAGCAGCAACTAACAAGAAAGCCAACCCGGCAACTGATGAGGTTCGCGTAGAGAACCGAAACCATGGTCTTGCCTGATCACAAAGTGGGAATAACAGAACAGTAGCAAGGCTGTTACAAATTTAAGCTTTTTCCAAAGTTATCACCAAGGGAGGAACTACGCACTCCAGTCCAAAGACTCACATTCTCTCCAGAAAAACAAGCGGTAGTTAAAATTCATGAGCAGTCATGACTGAGTCACATCGCAGTTCTCCATAGTTGATGTAGTTTTAGTTTAAGCTGCAATCCATTCTTCGAGATTTGGATATCACTATCCGTCATGCTAAAAACGAGCTGGGCGCAGCGTGATAAAACATTGCAGGAAACCGTCGCATTCACGGCCGAAAAGAAAATCGCTTAAAATTATTGAGATCCAGGAGGAAATCGGCGGAGAAATTAAACAACCCAAACCCCTTATTTAGCCGCATTGAAGAGCTTTACTTTTCAAAAGAGGTCAAAGAAAATGCTCTTGCATCAGAGGGCAAATCATGCCGACCATAAACAATAACTGCAGAAAATTAATATGCGTGTCACGACCTTTCAGTATGACTAAGCGGCAAAAATCACATTTGCTCAGTCAAAACGTTTTCCTCCAGAGCATAATCTACCTGTCGGGGAGAAAAAATTTATTGGAACAAGCAGCATTTTAGCATGAGTAAAAGTCGTGTGCTGCCTACACTTTCAAGTTCTTCACGCGAAACAGCCGTGAAGAAAATTAGTATCTGGGTTTTCTTTTGCTTGCAATAAATATCCCCCGCAGTTTACCGATGACAAGAGCAATGACAGCTCAATGAGGAAAGGAATCCCATTGGATGTGCTTAATTGATTTGGAAGGGGATACGAACTTCACACTCCAAAATCAGTGGGCCGTGAAGGGTCAAAAGCTTGGGCTTTGTCTCTAGTCCCTCATTTTTCTCTCTCCCCGGCGCGTGTCGCCCTTTCTCGCGTGGGGTAATTTTCAGGCCCGCTCGCGTTTCGCTCGCTCTACTATCCCTGAGGAAAAATGGGGGACTACTCGTAGTCTATAACTACACATCTATTTAAGAGCAAGACCCCTTATACCAAGGTGTTCAAGCTTATCAATTGCACGGTTAACTGTATCAAAAGCATCAGACAAGACTAAAAAAATGCCAGCACAGTACTCCTTGTTATCTACAGATAGGAGGTTTCATCAATAAGCTGAATGAGAGCTAAACTGGTAGAATGTTGAGATCTAAAGCCATACTGATGCGAAAATAAAATATTATGTTTCTCGATAAAATCAATTAGCCTATTATATACTACCTTTTCAAAAAATTTAGAAAAACAAATTGAAATTGGCCTATAATTACAAAATAGGGAAGGATTGTCACTTTTATAAGCAGGAACAACTCTTGCAATTTTGATCTTATCAGGGAAAATGCCGGTAGAAATAGACAAATTAATTAAGAAGCAAAGTGGGGTAGATAAAATTTTGACCTTGGATTTAATATCAGACATGTTAATATGGTCAAAACCACAAGCTTTCCGAGTTTTAAATGAGGTGACCAGTCTCTCAATTTCCACAGTGGAAACTGGATTAACAAAAACAAGATTCAAGTATCTGGTTTCCCAAAAAACCCCGATACAAGAAGGTTGTATTAGGAATCTTCTTAGCAAGACTAGGACCTAAGTTGGTAAAATATTCACAACATTTATGAGCAATGAGACCAGGGTCCTTGATTTCTTGTTGACCATCTTTAAAAGGGATTGGTGATTTAATTTTAGGCCTGTTGATAATAGTGTTCAAAAGCTCCCAGACAGCTTTCAGATTGTTCTTGGCTGATTCAATTTTACAATTATAATAGTTGCATTTAGATATTTTTAAAAGATGGTTAAGTTTATTTCTATACTGTTTATGTTGAACATGTCTCAGTGAGGATGGATTGCGTAAGAAAGCCTTGTACAATTTACTTTTGGTCTTGATAAACTTAAGCAAACCTTGAGTTATCCAGGGTTTAGTTAACAGTTTAGACTTCCTTTTAAATTAAAAATTAAAATTTTCATTATATTTAGAAATAAAGTAATTATAGGATTCATTGAGATCATGATACTGATATAAATTGTCCCTTGCTCGGGGATGCCTTCAAAGCAGAGATTATTCCATCTTGAACGGTTTTCAAGGTCGTCTGTTTAATGTCGAGTAGAAACTTCATATCATCTTGAAGTTCCTGGAGTTTACTATGGTCGAGAACATCAAAGAGTTGAGAGACTTGCCCTTGAGTGAACTCAAGACTGTTCTTTAATTCTCGAACTTCCTTCAAAAGATAATCGATTCTGTTATTGGCAGAATCGATGAACGAAGAGGAAAAACTTTGATAGTGTCCTCCTGAACCTTCAGTAATTCTCTGACAGAGTCTAGAGAAACTAGACTTTCACCATTTACATTCGTACTGGATGTTTTCTCAGCAGCTGATTTCGAGCGTGTGTTCGCCATCTTAATATGTTCGCTATCCTTTCTTACAGAGATAAACCTCAGTTTTTGCTAAGAGACTAAACGGATTCACTGTATTTTGTTTTGTTACTCGTGGCAATCGGGAATCAGGAGATTCCTTCCCTTTAGGGAGGAGATAGTGTGATGGGACATTTCATGCTGGATATATAGCGTAGGTTTCTGATGTAAAAGCACGAGTTTTTCGAGAACAGCTTGATCTCGGCGCTAAGTTTTTGTATGTTCTTAGCTACGCGATTAAAACTGTAAAACGACTTCGGAAACACCCTGGGCCCTTTTCTCTGTGACGTGTGACATTTATTACACCAAAAAACCTAGATCAATGACCTCGCGAACATTATAGGATTTGAAAGGTCTTTTCAGTTCCTTTGATTTTTGCAGCACTTAAGATTTGCGGTATTCGTTAATAGACACTGGTTAAAAAAAATGAATAGTCATGAACTAGATTCACCGAGATGTTATTCAAATTAGCCTCACACCATACTGAACATAATTTAAGTATTTTACCATTTCATTTCTGATATATAAATCGGTAGACTTTGATTTAAACCAAATTACTTGATGAACGTTAACGAGAGGAAACAGTACTAATTACTCAGCATTACACTGGGCTACTTTAAGGTGCTCAGTGTTTACTCGGAGTTGCTGATATCCAAAATCATTCTAGATTACTAAGAGTTGTTGTTTTATGCTCAAAGGGGTTCACAGACTACTCGGAGTGGCTCTGAGTCTAATCAGTAATTAGGTCGATGCGAAAGAAATCTTTTGACAAGAATCATCAACTTTATTAAATGCGATATTACAATTTGCAGTGCCTTTACAAAGTGCAGAAATTCGCTTTTTACGCTGAGTACTATACTAAGTCGGTCATTGGAGATCTTTTTGTCAATATTCCGAGTAAAACAACTGCAAGAGTGTGTCCCGATTCTGGGCACGAGGGTGCTCCTGTAACCACACAATGAACATACATACCGCCCCTAGTTCCACCCTGTGGATGCCATCTCGAGAAAGACATCGACGGGATGCTTTAGTTGATGTGGATGAAGGTGATGCAGGGGGTTAATAGCAGATCCTGGCAAAGATCGCCTTACACACACAGACGCCAGGTCAGGGGCAAATCCTATCCATTAAGACAGCTGACTGCAGGCATTTTCTTTTTGGTTGAGCTATATATTACGAACTTTTTAGAAGAGTCTACTGTTTCTCAAATGACGTGGTAACATGGCCTCTTGCTGTTGTCTGTACTCACCTTCACGTTGCTGTCTGTCCACAGACTCTTTAAAACTCTGGAACTAGAAGTCGTCTTTCATGAGCTTACCCGAGGATAGTGGTGTGTGAACAAATGTACTATGTCGTATGCAGTTATGCTGGGCGTGGATTTGTTGATCCACGTTGGGTTCGGGCACCAGGGCTGCCCCCAAAGTGAAGGACTCAACAGGTGTGGTAGAGGATCCTGCTCGGGTCGTTGAGGTGAGTCTAACAATGTCCAATCTTGCTTTTTTTGGTAGGCTGTTTTTTGGCAGGTGGTGCTGCACGTTTGGGCGAGTCACTTGTCTTTCCATGTTGCTTTTGACTTGATGAAAGCACACTGATGTTCCAGTAAATTATAGGCAGCACCAGCCAGGTGTCTCGCTTATATTCTTCTTGTCCCAGGTGACTCATAACGTCTATGGTCCATATATGGCAGCTGCTCCGCCTCTTTGCCCTTATTTGAACATGGCGTAAGTGTAGCGCGAAACTCCTTTATTGCCCTCGAACGGGCATACCATTTGCTGTGCACGAGCTCGTTGACTCCACCTTCTGGCTTTTTTAGACATGGTATGTAAACGTTCATTACTTGTTGACCACGTGACAAGTTCGTCTACAAAAAATCAAACAAACGCTCCCCTTCCCTCACTTTATGTGATGTGTTAAAATGCTGTGCAAGAAGATTGCAGGATCCCCTATACCAGAGCGTACACTGCGATAGCTTCAAACACATCTTCATTGAATGACTGCCTTCTTGTCCCAAGCTTTATCGTTCCCAAGTTTATAATTGATAGTGTTCATCATCATGACAACGCAAATCCCCGGGGGGAGTACTCCCTTGCAATTGCCTTATAGGTATTGATCTGAAATAAGATATAGGGTCCGGATTTGGAGAGCCGGACAACACACCCTCGCCACGAATTCCCAGGAGTACCCTCAGGATTACTAAGCCAATAACTGATAGCGTTCATTTTTGACATAAAAATCCTGGGGGGTACCATACATTTGCCTAAGAGATATTGGTCTGAAATAGAGTCTAGATTCAGGATTTGGAGAGTCGGATGCCACAGCCCCATCACGAATAGCCAGGAGTACCCCCGAAAAGAAAATCGAAGGTATTTTATAAACTGGGCCAGCCTTCGGCCAGCCCAGGTTATAAAATGAGTCAACATAACAATACAGAAGCTGATCTGTAGAGTAACAGACCTTTTTCGATGTACATCGGTCGTTAGCCTGAACATGCTTCTCAGATTGCTTCGTGATAAACGTCATGCATCAACAACGCAAGACGTTCGAAATACAAAAACGTTAATGGTAAAAACCTCGTTTGCTGAAAGAAGGGAATGGCATGGTCCGTAGGTTTAGCGAGAAACATCAATCGAAGCGCTCTTTTCTGAAGAATCAATAATTTGTTTGTATGGACTTAAGCTCGTTGGCCCCAATCACATATACCATATTAGGTTAGATAGGGCAAAATTAGTGACTGAAAGACACTCAACAGAGTTTGATAACGAATCAATCTTTAAAAAGACTCTGCGGAGATGGACAAACATGCGTAATGGATCACGCAACACCCCTGGGTTACTGGGTTAACAATTGACATGGTTCATTTTTTGACACTAATCTACCCATTTTATGAACTGAATCTACCATACAGGCAGCCCAGTTAATAAAATTTGTTCAGTCAAAGTTTATGATACTCCATACACTACATAATCTAAGCAAAGAAAAGGAGGCAAATCTCTGTTGTTAATGCAAACTCTCGCATTACGCAACGTTTCACACTATCACGAATTTGTGAGTCGTGTTTGGATTGTCAACACTTCTGAATCTTTGATATGGACTTCTCTATCTGATTTCTCTATCTACAATCATGGACAAAAGTCTTGGGACACTTTGGCGTTTCTGTGGGCCGTTTTCCAATTCACACAGGCCCAACCCCTACCCCTATTCTCTCTTGCCTACCCTCACCCCACAAACAATGTTGGACGCACATATCCAGAATTGTTTCCGAGTTTCAACTTTGTATAGGTTGGGGGGAGGGAGAACTGCAAGAAAATTTCAAAAAGGATGCACTGTTTTAAGAGGGAGCCGAGAAATGACAGAAAAAAGTGAATATTGCAGTTCCTACTGTCCCAAGGACTTTTGTCCAGGATTGTCTGAATCCTGGTTTTGGGGAAAACGTCTGTTGTCTTCATTTTTCCTATGCTTTTTAGGCATTTTGGAGACAAGTAGTTGATCACACGCAATAATAATGACCTTTGAAACTATTTCCTCAACATAGCAAGTTTTTACAAGGCAATTCCCTGATTAGCCATATCGGGCCCACTCCCCTAAACTGGAGCCGAGTACAGAGGAATTTGGTTAGGCACGATGTTTCGAGCATCGCGCACAATTCCCGTTGCAAAAACACTGTATTATCAATATTCGCTACAAATTCATTGAGGAAACACGGCTAAGGTATATTTTAACCAAAGAGTAATTGCATTTGAAATAATATGCGTCAAAAGGGCCATCCAGTAAAGTGAATACAACAGTACTTACTTGATCCAGTGAGGGTAAATATATTTGTTCCTCTTTCTCTCCACTTCAGCTCACCTCAAAGTGAGTACTATGACTAAAGAGCTAAAAATTGCCTTTTAACTGTAAATAAAAGCGTCAAAGGATGTATCTACAGAAAAAGTTTCTCTCATCATCCCTAGGACGTTAAGATTCTATAGAAAAAAGCACACATTATTAAGGTTTTAGAGTGAGTACTGTTGGTGAGTGCTGTTGCACTATGCAAATCAGTTCAAAGTAAACTCACTTGGTTGTTTACTTAGTTCATGACAAATACGACGCAACGTAATTTTTGTTGGCAAATAAACACATATAAATATTAGAACACTTTCAAACAAAAAATGATCCGGTACAATTCTCTGGAAGTCAGCGAAAAACTGTTTTGCCACGAATTAATGAATGAAAACTTTATTTAAGTGTCTATGTTTTTAGCGAAAAGCTAATGGGGGACACTGTAAAATAATATGTTAAATACCAGATACAAATCACTAAAAAATAAAAAAAAATTGCGTGTGGATTATATAGTTATTTACAAAATTTGTTGCCTAAAAACGTCTAAATATTTACCAGAGTTGAAAGGTCAACTTTCCTCATGACGCGCGTTATGAAACAACCGCTTTTTTCTTACATCACAATCCTGTCGTGTTTTTGTGTTGTACAAATGACAGGGACGGCTATTCACATCGCTTAATATTTTTTCGCGGCCGTTCTCTCTTTTGGAAAACGTTGTTATTTTCTCTACCAAGCCTGCTGAATTTTTTGACATTCGTGCTCATATTGAGTACTGGCGACTGTAATGTTGACATCTCTGAGCAAGTTATATACCAGGTAAATGACCTCGTGCTTTGTCGTATATCCACGACTGTATCTCTTTGGCCTGCCGAAATTCTTACTCTGTACACAATGTTAGTAACTCGTTGTTTCCCTTAACCGTTCTCGGACTTGAGTCTTATTTGAAGTTATGTTATCCCTTGGAATAGAGCACGCGCTATGAGATTCCACAATTTCTGGTGTATATCATTCGTTTCGAGCGAATTCTTAAAACACGTTCAGAAAACTCCGAAAAGCTGGGAGAAGGTTTGTTCAATTGCGATCTTTCATCAGAATCCCAAGAAAACACTCTTACAGGCTTGAAAATCCCTCAAGATTGCCTTTTCTGTTCCCACCTCTTTTTCAGACATGTAGGTCTCGAGTGACAAAAAGCAATTTTAAAAACGTCGCAAACTCTCTAAATTAGTCGATGAAAATTAGTCGCATTGACCATCATTTCGAATTAAACTAGAATGACATGAAACATGAGCTAGGAATATTTGGTCAGTGGAAACAACTTTTTAATTTATTTTTATTTTTGTACACGATTTAATAGCAACGGTGAATCACAGACGCCCCTTCTCCGATTTTTCTGAGGGGAAGGGACGGACGCACACAGGCTAACGGCACGAGGGCGGACGTATTTTTAACGTACGGGAATGCAAAGGCTTGTGATGATCTAAATTGATCCATTGATGCATCGCTATCCCTGTCTCTCTATTTCTCGTAATAGTTTTGCTAGACGCTCAACGTAGAAGACTAGCCCAGTTCAATAAACTTCTTGTTTACTACCTTTTCAGGGGTTGCGTCTACCTCTGAATTAGCTATGCGTGTGGAGGGGAGAGGAACAGAATAGGGAAGAGGGAGAAATCGGGGCGAAAATGTTACGGGAAGAGGGAGAAAATGAAATCTTGTGGGAGTAGGAAAATATCGATGAGAAGGTAATTTTATGCCGGTTTTATGGCTTTGTTTTAACTTGCCTGATGACAAGGACTAGGGGGACGAGGAATTTGACGTGTGCCTGCGGTCCCCTTGGGTCTCATGGGACTAGGCCTTTCCTGATTGTGCTCGGCGACTTTTGAGCAACTTTTGGCGTTTGGACCAACTTTTTGCGGTTCTAGCAATCTCGAGCAAATTTTGCCTTTCTGAGCAATACTTGAGCAAAATATAGGTGTAGAGCACATATCACGCACGAAAAAGTCAATGATTTCATAGAAAACTTCAATTTTTTAAAATTTTATTTTAATTATTTTAACTTATTTTTTGTTATTATTATTTTTTTCTTGACCGATGTTAGTAATTATTCTGAAATCGAAAAATAAAGCTTTTAATTAACGTTTATATAAAAATATCAAGAAATTTAGGTGGCAACTTTTGAAATTTAGGTAGCAACTTTTTGGATTTTTGTTTCAGGTTTCATTATGGCTACAAGAGGTGCAACGATGATGATCATGGAAATTGACTCGCCAACTTGAAAAAAAATGCTCGATTGTATTTTTTATAAAGCTTCGATGTCTGCGTAATTCGATACCAGATGTCTCTCTCCCACCATATCGCATTCCTCATCAATGTCACCAGTGCTCGAGTGTTAGCAGGTGTCATAATCGACCAATCAGAGAGTATACTGGAATCCAGTATACCGGAACGACCCTTTGTCAACAATGTTTACAGGCGTTCTCTCGCTCTCGCCCCCCCCCCCTCCTCCTCGGTTCCCCGGTTCCCTCCCCGGTTTTTCGGTGTAAAATTTAACTCGCTTCTCACTGACCACCGCGCTCTGCTATCTGAACGCCTGGGCTAGCTGCAGAATAGGGTTGGGCATGCATTAATTACATGAAAAACACAAATTAACTCTAACTCTGTTACAAGATTTTGTCCATGGTTGTAGCTTTTCTCAGCAAAGGTATGATTAATAGCAATCCAACAGAGAAAGAAGGGTAAGCCTTGCCGAAAGCAGTGAGATATTGTTTTAACATGAGAAGAAAAATTTCATATCTCCGAGGGGCCATGCAATATGTAACATTTATTTTATACCATTGAAATACTTAACCATTTCACTTATTAAATAAATAACCTTTTCGCTGTGAAAGGTGTGATTTGTTATGTACCATAGCAATGGTGATCTTTTCACGTGCAAAGATAACATGTTATTTTGACATGTGAAGATATCATGTTTTGGAACACAAGCTCACCTGTTATTTTATTGGCGTTTATAAAAATATAATAAAAAGCTTATTTCTTTCATTTTTCTGGATTTGGCCCTTATGGAGGAGATCTGGAATTATCCAGCTTAAATTCCTGTCTACATCTGGTTGATGTGAAAAGTGACCAGTGACCACTACTTTTAACAAGTATTTTACAAAACAAAAAATAATTAATTATTGCTCAGGTTTAAAACTTCAACTGATTTTAT